AGAAAGTACCTTGGTGGTTCTTTGGCCTGGCGCCTTGGCCGCTTGGCCCGCTTGTCCCGCTGGCGGCTGGCCGCTTCCTGCTTGTCGTCGACGGTCACTCAGTCAGTCGTCACTCGTCGTGGAAGGAAAATAGGGGCAGGGCCGCAAGGGGCTTCGGCAGTTTGGCCGCTTCGCAAATCGCGGTTGGGACTTGGGGGGCTGCGTGAAAGCGTGAAAGGAAAAGGCGGCTGCCGCGGTCTGGGTCTTTGCGTGAAAGGAAAAGGGGCTGCCTGCCGGGTTGGCCGGTTGGGTCTTTTGTTTTGGGCTTAAGTTGGGTCGTGCCTTCCCTTAAAGACAGAAAAAAACGCCAAAAAAAATACTCCAATGAGATTCGAACATGGTACCTCCGAGTAAGATAGATACTTTGCTTCTAGACGTGTTCCCATTCCGCTACACCATTCTTATTGTTTTAAAGTTGTTTTGTGTTTATATATACATTGAATAATTAATTTTAAACCTTGTTAGGAATTTGTCTAAGGTGTTCCTAGTACTTTCACGGAGTTGAGGGAGTCGCCGGAGTGTTCGCCGGAGTTGGTCAAAGTTCGTCGGAGCTTCGCCGAGGTCCAACCGGGAAGGGTAGAACTTCTAAAAGCTCATTCAAGGTGAGTGGATGGCTTAATGTCTTGTAACTCTTGGATTAAGTATAAGATTACCTAAGAAATGTTATAAGTATTCATAATGATGTTTAAAGGAACTTAAGCATGTGATTAGTCAAAGTTAATTGGCTTATGTGAATGATATTACATGATTTTGCATGTCAAAAGCATAAAATGTGTACAAAAACATATGTGATTGATGGATAGTGTACCCGGGGGGTAGCTTATCCGAGGGGTTACTGCGGTGAATAACCTAGAGAGAAGTCAGAGCAAAATAAGCAAGAGAGAGAGAGTGAGCTCGAATATGTGAGTTGTGTAATTAAGGCGTGTCTTACAAAGGGGAAAGGGGCAGCTATTTATAGTAGTAATAAATGCTAGATAGGGACACGTGTCAGTATTCTGGTGGTCGAGGGGTCACCTCAACCGGGGTGGCGTTGGCACTCGCATGTGGCCGCATTAAATGTGGTGGTTGGATGCGACGTTTGTACTTGGTACGTTGATCCAGCGCATGTGGATGGGAGATTCTGTCGAGGAGGATGCCTTCGGCTGTAGATGACAGTCTGAAGGCTCTGCGTACCGGGGGCCTCATAGTGCCGAGGGCTCCAATTGCCGAAGGCTCGGTTTTCAAGCCTTGTTCTCCTGTGATGTTCCTGAGCTCGAATCCGTAAATGGCGCTGAAGACACCCCATATGCGTATTGTTGGCCGCTTAGATCTTCATTCTGCTGGGCTTGGCCCATTTTGGGTCTGTTGGGCCTAAATGCAACGGTGGTAGTATGTGGGCCGGGGGTCCCTGTGCCATATACTTCATCAGGAGTTCCTCACTCCTTTTGCCGAAAGGTACTTCAGGGAAAAGGAGTAATTGTGTTAGTGCCGGTGTTTGCTTTGTTGTAGTTTGTAAAGTTTGCGAGTAGATTTTCGTATGCGCATTTTGCCGAGGGCAGTCCCTCAGTCCCCCACATTTCGGGATTTGAAGGATTATGTTGATGTCATGGGAAAAGATTTGACGTTTTGTGATTTTTCCCAGAGGGGTCCTCTAGTCCCCCACTCCTTGAGGCACATGTAATGTGGTGAAGAAGAGTGTAGCAGTGCTTGTCTTCAGTATGGGGTCGAGGGCTGACTATTTTCGTTTCATTTTGGGGGGGATGCCTCGTTAAAAACCTCGTTAAAAACCTCATTATTTATAATCCATAAATAATTATTAGCCTCTTGACCCATTTTTTAAATAAGAGACGGCTAATGCGCCGAATTTCGATATCACAGGGGTTTGGTGCATTAAACCGAAATTATTATCACCACTATCAAGGCCAAATTATGAAAGCTTGAATCAATAATCGGATAGATACTCATGACTTTTTACCATATGATGCCCATATGCATACTTAGCAAAATCATACTCCCTCTGTTTCATAATCTTTGACACAGTTTGACTTGTCAAGAATTAAGGGAAAAATATTACTGAGGGGTAAATTTTACTGTAGAGTACACTGTTTGGCACTGTTGGAACACTGTTTGGCACTGTTTGAACACTGTTTGGCACTGTTTGACACTGTTTTGCACTGTTTTGGTAAAGATTTGTTTACCAAAAAGGAAATAAGGAAGTGTGTCATTGATTGTGAAATAACCAAAAAAAAGTGTGTCAAAGATTATGAAACGGAGGGAGTAAGTAACTAATTCAACTATACACGGATTAACCGAAGTCTAATTGAGTTTTAATCAATAGCTTAAGATAATTTCACCCAAAAGACATAAGTTTGGTGTTTCAACTTTCAACACCTAGCAAAAGACACGACATCATTCACGTTCTCAATAGCTTTCTGCATGCATAGCAAAAGACACGACACCCTTAGCAGAGGTGCACACGAGTCTAGCCGTGCCGAGCTCAAACATGGGTATGCTTGAGTTTGAGTTTGAGTTTGATAAAAATTCAAAAGCTCAACCCAAGCTCGTTTCGAGCTCGAGTCAAATTTTGTTAATTAATTTTTATAGGTTTTAGATTGAATAAGATGTTCGAACTCGAAGTCGTATTTGAAGTAAAAAATAAATTTCTGTTTTCAAATTATTAATATTACAATTTATACATACAAAATACTTAATAATATACGTAGTAATATTTATGCTTAATCATTCTCATTTGTTAGTTCCTCTCTCCTTCATTGGTATTTGTATTCCTTATTCTATTATCAATACATATTACACATTATAGTTTATACAGATTATTGTTATAATTATAAATATAATACACGTAATATTATATCTTTAACTATTATTATAACTATTATAATATACACCGTAAAAAATATTGAATATGGAATAGTCATAAATATTAAAACATATTCCAAATATATACTACCTCCTGTCCCAAAAGAACTTCATTCTTTGACTTCAAGGTTTTTTAAAAATGTTAAATTTTTGGTTTTGACTTTTTCATTATGCCCCCCAAAAAGTAGATAAAGTATAGTGAAAGAGAGAAAGTGTGTGTAAAGTAGTTAATTAAGTAAGGGTGTAATTATTCGAGCCAAACAGAACTTGAGTCAGCTTGAATAAAATCGAATTCGAGTAGAGTTTTTCTGGAACGATTCATGAGCAGCTCGCGAACGGCTCGTTTCCACCTTGCAAGAAGCAATGTTCCCAAATGTAGAAAATATATATAGTATGCAATAACCGCTTGTCATCAATTGCCATATCCAGATTCATGATAAATAGGGGTGGATTCGGTTCGGGCCACCCGGCCCGTGACCCGGCCCGGCCCGGTACTGTGCGGGCCCGGGACCGGCCCGGTCGGGCGGTCCGGGACCAGGTGTAGACCCGAACCGGTGGGAATGGGCGGGGCGGGCACGGTTCCGGAAAAATGTGACCCGGCCCGGCCGGGTCGGGCCCGGCGGGTCCGGGTCCAACGGTCATATTTTAAAAAAAAATTAAACGGCTACTAGCCGTTATGGGTGGGCTGGGGACAACCCAAACGGCTACATAGCCGTTGGGTGGGTCTTGGGGGGGTCCGGGGGGGTTGGGTGGTGGGGGGTGGGGGTGGGGGGTGGGGGGTAAAAAAACCTATAACTACTCCTAATGTTAAACATTTTTTCATATCTCTTCTCCAATTCTTCCTAAATCCTATTCTTAACTCTCTACTCTCTAATTCTCTTATTCTCCAATATATTATATTTATTATTTATATATCTACTTTATAGTTTATACTTAAGAAGTTAAGATGGAAAATCAAGATGCCATTATACGGTATAATTTTGATAAGCAGAAGGACCCGAAGACCGGGATGTGGTACGCAACTTGCAAATGGTGCGAGAAAAAATGTTGCATGCGGGTTTCAGGCGGATACGGGATGGCAATCAAGCATATGAAGTCATGTGACAAAGCCAAAGGATCGAGAGGTGCGGGAAGTTCCGATTGATTACAATTTTCAAAATGTTTGTCTCTTAAAGTTTGTTTTAATTTTCAAATGTAGTTCCTATTTCATTTCAAATAAACGCACTTGAAGTTTTTTTTAATACTCGTATAAAACTATAAACTATAAAATATAAATTATAAAAAAAAAACTTTAACCAGCCCGGCCCGAACCGGACCCGTGACCCGGGCGGGTGGCCCGGCCCGAACCGGACCCGTCCAACCCTCGGGCCGGTCCCGGGCCCATGTCATACAAACCGGTGGCCCGACCGGGCCTTGGCCCGACCGGGCCTAAGCCCGGCCCGACGTTTTGAGTAATATTGGATTTTGCACCTCATTTTCAAAAAAAATGGACTTTGCACCCCATCATATAACATTTTGTGAAGATATATTTCTAAATGGAGTACAAAGTTAAAGGATTATTAAGTGAAATAGGGTGCTTATTAGGCAGTGGTTTGGTACGAGGTATTACACTTTTTAGTCCATTAAGAACCGAAATAGATTTTGAAATTATGATAAACTAGGCTTGGACTCGGGTCGGGCCACCCGGCCCGTGGACCGGCCCAGCCCACTACTGTGCGGGACCGGGACCGGCCCGGTTCTCGGGTCCGGGTCAGGCCTAGGCCCGGGGGTAGGACGGGTCCGGGCTCGGGTCTCAATTTTGGTGAACCGGCCCGGCCGGGTCGGGCCCGGGCTAAATTGAATTTTTTTTTATTTTTTTTTCATTTTTGGGGTTCCACCCAGGTTGGGCTTGATGGGTAGGATGGGTTTGGGGGGGTTTGGGAGGGTGGGGGTGAGGGGGGGGGTTAGGAAAGCAACAAAAAAAAAATACAAACCGGAGGCCCGGCCCGGACCCGGACCGGACCCGGTGGTTACCCGGGCCGGTCCCGGGTCCACCATTCTTGAACCGCCGGCCCGCCCGGGCCTAGGCCCGACCCGGACCCGGCCAGGACCCGAGTCCACCCCTATGATAAACTACGTATATAATAAAAATAATATACGGAGTGTATATATATACACACTCATTACGAAATATTAGTGTCTGCTGGGTGTTGAAACATGCGAGCCGAATTTCAAGTTTCAAAATTTTTACTCGTATCAAGGACATTCTACCGTTGCAGCACCAATCTTTGTTGTGCACTCCTTTTTAACAGCTTTCCCAGCTCTTTTTGATTTAGTAGCTTTGGCAGTGGGAGATTGAAGTGATTCATCCACAGAAATTTCTGATTTAGTACCACTACTATCAGTGCAAGAAAGAGCCGGTTCATCGGCGGGTTTCTTCCTATGAGCCCTTCCAGCAGATTTGCTCTTATAAGCTGTTGTCACCTTCCACTTTTTGTTATCGAATTGGTGGCCATTAAGCACTTGCACTGACCAAGCCGCGTCATCGGCATCCTTAAAGTGGACAAATCCGAAACACTTTGATTTTCCATCTCCATCTTTGGGAACAATAACACTAGAGATCGTTCCACCAAAACAACCAAAGACTTTCCTGAGATCCTCTGCAGTAGTGGATTCCGATAAGTTCCCCACAAAAACCTTATTGGGGCTGACCTCTTTCTTTTCTCCTGCCAAAGCTCTTTCTTGCTTGCTGGCACAAGATTTAGCATTCACTTTCTTGCCATTCTTCTGAGCTTTCCGGGACTGGTTCCCTCCGTCACTGGTTCTCCCGTCTTGAGACTGAAGCTGCACATGTGCCATTGAATTGAAATCCTACAACAATAAAAAGTGTTCAAATCATTTATAAACTTTTTGGGCTTTTTTAAACTTCAATCGCCTTCTTTTAGCAAGAGATTTTCTTATGCCACTGTTGGAAGTAATAATTGTTTTATTTTGCCAATAAGCAAACTAATCAGAACAAGCACAATAAGTAGCCTTTAACGTACACATAATTATTTGGATCCGATCAGTTTTACGAAACCCTTTTCCTTTAAGAATATTTTGTGCAAGATAACCCTACTAAACCGGCTCTTATTGTAAATTTATTAACATTATTCACACATAAACCCATATGACTTTCTAAGCATTGTTACAATATAGAAACTTAAACCGGCTCCAGAAATTCTTTCATTTAGCTAGATCTTCAACCATATTCTTTCCAATTGAATTTCAACTTCTAACAAATTAGAAAGGGAGCCTTGGCGCAGCTATGTGACCGAGAAGTCACGAGTCAAGTCCTGGGAGCGGCCTCTATTAAAAATGACAAGGGAAGTCTTGCCCCTTATACACCCTTGTGGTGGGACCCTTCCCCAGACCCTCTCCTTGCAGGGGTGCCAATATGCGATCAGTTTTACGAAACCCTTTTCCTTTAAGAATATTTTGTGCAATATTAACCCAACTAAACCAGCTCTTATTGTAAGGCAATTTATTAACATTATTCACACTTAAACCCATATGACTTTCTAAGCATTGTTACAATATAGAAACTTAAACCGGCTCCAGAAATTCTTTCATTTAGCTAGATCTTCAACCATATTCTTTCTAATTGAATTTCAACTTCTAACAAATTAGAAAGGGAGCCTTGGCGCAGCTATGTGACCGAGAAGTCACGAGTCAAGTCCTGGGAGCGGCCTCTATTAAAAATGAGAAGGGAAATCTTGCCCCCTATACACCCCTTGTGGTGGGACCCTTCCCCAGACCCTCTCCTTGCAGGGGTGCCAATATGCACTAGGCTGCCCTTATCAAACTAGACAATTGAATGCTAATAACATCACAGAATTCCAAGAAAAATTACAGTGTATCAACTTTTCATTGTAAAGCATCAAAACTTAGTGGAAATTACTTCAGTAGTAGCTGTGTGTACCTGTTCTTCTTCACCCTGAGCTTCATTCAGTTTGATTGCATTACCAGCGCTTGAAGAAATCAATTCGATTTTTGGATCATTGCTATCACCACACTCAGAATGATTGTCATTTAGGCATCCATCATTTAAGCCTTTGCGGTTTATACCTCTACGACCTCCACCTCTGCGACTTCCATGGTTGGGGTTAATGGGTTTATTACTATCTACAGCCCGACAGCTTTTTGGGTTGTTAAGGTGTTTAGTATCTCGGCCGTGACCATTGCTATTATCGCTTCCACTATTTTTACATCCACGACCTTTACGTGAGGAATTTTCTCTAGATCCTTTCTTAGAGACAGAATTGTTGTTAGAGTCTCCCAAGTCTTTTTTGATTCCATCTCCAGAGAGATTAGAGACAGAATTGTCGTTAGAGTCTCCCAAGTCTTTCCCGATTCCATCTCCAGAGAGACTAATATCATCTCTGCATGCACCAGAGAAATCCCCATTGCACCACCCTTGAGAGAAAAAATTATTGTTGAAATCTCCCAACTCTTCGCTAGTTCTATTTGCCTCCATGGCCTACAAGTGTTATTATTCTTTTCATTAATCATCATTTTATTTAGGGCCAATCCATTACAGTTAAGCAATTCATTAACACTAAGATACTAAGAGCCCGTCTGGTAAGGCTTATATGTCTTAAGTTGCTGCTAAATTGTCGAATTTTCTGAAAGAAAAATCATTTTGAGAAGTCAATATGGCCGGTAAAATAAGCCCAATCAGGTTACCATTACCGAATGGTCTCTAAGTTCTTCTGAAGCCACCAAAGGGTCAAATTGCTTATGAAAACTCAAATATATTGTTTCACACTTTCACCAAATTTGTAATGGATAAAATTATAATAGTTAACCATATTGCTTCATTTGATTGCCATATCCACCATTATTCATTATTATCAAGCAACTATGCAAGTATTCAAATGCATAGACATACTCTGTAATCTTGTGCCAAAACATGACGCTCACTGCATGTTCATACCTTTCCATAAAACTGATACCCCTGCTCTAGTGCATCCCAAGAAGCTTCTTCTGATTCATTTGCATAAGCAGGGAAAGAACAAACCGATTCATCATCCAGCTTCCATGATATTTGTTCCTCTTGATCACCTTGGTACTTATTTTGCAGCGCATCCCAAGCTTCTTTAGAAGTTCTGGATTTAGCTATGCAGAAGAAGACAGATTTGTCTATAGCTTGCTGAATAAAAAACAACGTTCTGGCATCCTTTTTTCGAACATATAATGACTCTTCAAAAGTAAGCTCTTTTTCAGTATAACCTCCTTCCACTAAATCCCAAAGATCTTGGGATATAAACATAGTCTTCATCATGATGCTCCATATCTCGTATCCACTCCCATCAAACAACGGAATTCTACTCAACAAGAAGCTTGATTTTTTTCCAGTTTACACAAGAAAAAAGTTAACACAGAAATCGCAATCCAATATAAATTCTAGAAATTGTAATTCAATTGATCCCAAAAAGAAAAGCTAAAATGAACTTAAAGGGATTGATCATTGGGTTTATTTCTTCGAACCTTTCACTTCAAAACGGCGGAAAGTTAAGTGTGATTGGGTACTGAACCTTCACAAATGACAATAGAAGGGAAGATCTAAAAGTGCAACTTTGGGTATCATTCGGCGCTAATGAAACTAAACCAGTTCTTTAAGATTTTCTTTCGGCGCTAATGAAGTTATGAAACTAAATCAGAACATGAATTTATAAATCTGCAATTTCGCAAAAACAATAAACGATCAATGTTCCATGTTTCGATCATTACCCAATATCAGCAGAAGGGTTATCCGCGGCATCTACTTTGGTTTCGGCTTCAAATTTCGTCGCCCTGTTAGAAAGTTTAAAGTTTTCTGAAGCTCCTTCTAGCCCTAGGTCAGCCATTGCTCTGAAACCTGCGCACTAAGCAACATGGATATAACAAGAGTGCCTGAGTCCATGCGCAGCCTAGTAATAATTTCCCGAAAAGGGTCGGCCCAAATTTGACTTTGATCAAAGAAGTAAAAACAATGTAGTTGAAATTTGCGTAGATGAGAGAATTAATTTTAGCCACATTATTTACTTTAAATGGAAATGGAAAATATTTTTGGGACACCCAAAAGAGGAAATTAGGCCAACTTTTTCGGAACGGAGGGAGTAATTGAATTAGCCGAATAATGAAGGGTTCTTTTTTAACTGAGAGGTACAGTAACTCGACCTTAATAGTGGAAAATTAGAATAGTAAAATTTGTGTGAATGAGGTTTGTGCAGAGGAGGGAGAAATGAACAGAAACCATATTAGGGAGTATCAAAATAAGACTAAAGGAAAAATCGCACTTTTAATCCCTGAAATAGTCACCATATTGAAATGTCAGACTTGTATTTCCGAGATTATAAATGTCACCTCTCAATTGTCCAAATTGTTGCAAATGTGATCCTTTAAGAGTTGAAATATATTCCTCGCCCACATTGTACATTTCACCCCTCAAAGGATCACAATTACATCAATTTAGATAATTGATGAGTGACATTTACAAACTCGAAAACACAGGTCTGACATTTCAATATGATGACTATTTCAGGGACCAAAAGTGTGAATTTCCCTAAGACTAAGCCCCCGTTTGGATAGTAGCTGCTTGAGCAAACCCGTGATTAGTTAAATTGCAGCGGTTAGGCAGCAATCCACCGAAAAACAAACGGATCTAAATTAGTTAAATTTTTATGAAGTAGCAGCTGGTCGGTATCTACATTCCTACGCAATGTATCTTCCTCCTTTTTTTAATGCTACAGCCGCACCGCTCCTTTAATTTCAAGCAATTTTTATCTCCAATTTACCTTGTATGGATAATTGTCACTCTGTATTTATCATTAATAGACTACTACTCCGGTATTCCGTAATTTAGGATGTTTTTACTTGGACTGTAATTTGCTGGTCTGGTCTGTTCTGGTCTGATCTGTTTTAGTCTGGTTTGGTCTGGTCTGGTCTGGTCTGTTTTGGTCTGGTCTGGTCTGGTCTGAAATTTTATTTTTATATTTTTTGCATAAATATTTTATTTTTTATATATATTATAATCCATAAACAATTATATTTTATTCATTTATAATTAAAAATAATAATATTCCTTCTAAATTATCGAAAATTGTTATCGTTTTAATTGGATTGATTTCAATCCCAGACCGAAGCAGATCATACAAATACAGAACAATAATAAAATAGCAACAACAGCAACAAGAATAATAATAATAGTAATAATAATAGTAATAATAATAGTAATAATAATAGTAATAATAATAGTAATAATAATCATGATCATGATCATGATGATGATGATGATGATGATGATGATGATGATGATGATGATAATAATAATAATAATAATAATAATAATAATGTTGGGATATTGATCCAGAGGCCCAATATCCGGATCAAAAAGGCCCAAGATACCCGGCCCAAACAACGAGCCCATTACCCTATGATGAGTAGATCCAGTGAAGAATTCATACCGAACGAGGTCCGATCCCAATAAAGGCCGGCGCGGAAAGAAGGTGTACCGAACGGAGTTCGGACTATATATCATACTTGGGCCAATTTGGCAGAGTCTTCAGCGTGGCCCAACATCCCGTTCGAGCAACGGACAACCAGCAAGTGGCCAGGTGCAATTAATGCCAGATTGTGACATCAGCAAGTGGAAACATGGATGACCAAGTCGGTGGAACAACAGCCAATCAGCATAGAGCAACCCATGCTATCCATTAGTATAAATAGAAGGTTTAAAATCATTGTAAGGGTTAGCATTTCAATACTCAGGCTCTAGAATAGCAATATTACTCTTGTTTCTTGTATTAAAGCATTATTCCGACCTACCGATCGGTAATTTCCTTGTAATCAGACAGGTTAATTAATACAAGTGAGCTTTTGAGTATTAGTGAGTTCATATTTTATATTTGGTTATACACTTTGATTCTGGACCATTCCTGATATATCCAAAGTTCGTGTTGGGCTTTTGGATCTACGGGATTTACCTTCAACATTAGCGCCGTCTGTGGGAAACTGTTCAAAAAGTTTCACATTCAATTATCCTAAAACAACTATTTTCGAAAATGGTCAGAATCAGTTCTTATCACACAAACGACGGTTCACGCCGTCACGGAAGGAGTCACACCCCGGGAAATCAAACCCCTCAGGGACAATCCAGCCGAGGATCATATCCTCGTTTTGATGAGGATTTTGTGATTCCTGAAGCTCTACGAAGGAATCCTTAGGCCATGTGAGATATGGCCCAGATCATGCAGCACATGGCAAACAAGGAGGAAGGAGGATCCAATTTTACAGGGGAAACTTCACGCACGGAAACGACCACATCGTCATCCCGCTCGCATGCCCATCGGGATAATCGCTGTGGCGCTCCATCAGCAGCGCATCATAGTCCCAGCGTCATCCCGCTCGCATGCCCAGGGGACCAACTCCTATTGGTCGTCATTTCCAGTATGCCGAACGGGATAATACCAGGGCCGCTCAAAGGCATTGGGACCGGGAGTATACAGATTTGAGGGCTCCACCACCGCCCTTTTTGACGGCCCAGGAGGAAGAAATGGCTGAAATGAGGAGGCAGATGAACGAGATGCGAGATCAGATGAACAGGGCGCCTGTACAACCTGCCCCAATTCAGCTCGGGATTACTTCCCCTTTTACTAGGGAAATTATGTATGCGGACATCCAAGGAGGTGCCAAACCACCGACCGGTCAAATTTATGACGGGGTGGGAGATCCCCATGTACATTTGAGGAGTTATCAAGGGGGACTCATGCTACTAGGAGCACCCGAGGTTGCTGTTTGCCGGTTGTTTTTTAGTACGCTCAGAGGACCCGCCCAGGAGTGGTTCGGGACACTGCAACCCGGGTCGATCAACAGTTTCGCCGAATTATCGACGTTATTCTTGGCCCAATTTGCTTCCAGTGCCAATCCGAAACGGCATTTCAGCTACCTGACCAGCGTGAAGCAGAACTCCAAGGAAACCCTCAATCAATTCTTAAAAAGATGGAGGGACGAAACTCTGACAGTGGGAAATATGACGGATGATACCGCCATCACCCTATTCACGAACGCTCTCCGAACGGGAGAGTTATACAAGGATTTAAAGAAGAATCCAGGTACAGCATATGCTGAGGTATTAGACAGAGCTCGCAAGCATGCTGCCCTGGAAAAGGAGATAATGATCAGGGATAAGGTCGTTGCGCCTACTGCCCCAATCAAGATGGCCGATCGGCTGGGTCCTAGCCCAGTGGCCGCTTTACCTCCCAAGCAAGGGAGATTTACCCCCTGGTCCTGTCCGTGTCAACCATTTATCAGAACGAGAGGGACAATATTCCCCTTCCGACTGACTCTTCACAATTTATGGGAGCAGACGAGTCTGCTTTTTGTAAATATCATAACAGGAAAGGTCATGCCACCAACGTCTGTAGGGCCCTACAAACGGCCATTGAGGACTTGATCCGACGGGGTCATCTGGGCAAGTATGTGAATAAGGATCCAAGTGCGGTAGGCACTTTGAAACCGATCAGGAAACCGAATAGCTGGTTACGGGATGCCCAACGTGATGCCCAGCCTCAGAATGACGTATATATATTCCCCCCAGGGATGAACCAGAGGGCTCGGGAGGCCCTGGAAAGAAACCTCGAATGGAGGTCAAGGTTATATTTGGGGGCGGGGAGACAGGGGATTCGAACGCCGAACGGAAAAGGTTCGAGCGAAGTCTTTATGTGGGATCCATCTCCACTCCCCCCATAAGAAAGGAAGGACGGACCCGATCACGTTCGGGCCAGCTGATTTACCCAACTCCCCAAGCCCGCACAGGGATGAATTGGTGGTGAGCATGTGCATTGACAATGCTTTGATCCGCCAAGTACTGATCGATACCGGGAGCAGTGTGAATGTATTGTATTTACAATCATTCGAGAAAATGGGTCTACAAAGAAGTCAATTGACCCACCTAAGAACCCCACTGGCAAGCTTCACCGGTAATTGTATTGAGGCTGAGGGGACCATCCAATTGTTGGTTGAAATTGGGGACGAAACGCACAAAGCATCACTCCGAATGACGTTCGTGGTGGTGGATATAAAATGTGCCCACAATGCCATCTTGGGCCGACCAGGATTGGAAGATCTGGAGGCAATAGCCTCTGTCCGCCACTCGTGCATCAAATTCCCCACTGACACCGGGGTTGGGGTGGCCAGGACTGATCCGGCGACAGTCCGGACATGCTACTGAGAGGCCCTGAAGCAGATGAACACCCGTGGAATGCGGGTTAACAGTATTGAGGTGGAGACCCACCGAACGGAGTTCGAAGCACATCCAGAACCTGCCACTCTCCTCGAACAAATTGACCTGGATTTCCCCCCGTACCGTAAAGTAGCTATCGGGGTAGATCTGGAGGCTGACATCCGGGATGGCGTGATTGCCGTCCTAAAAAAGTTTCAGGTATTATTCGCCCGGGGGCCAGAAGATATGCCAGGTATTGACCCGGAGATAATATGTCACAAACTTGCCGTTCGGCCTGATGCAAAACCAGTCCAGCAAAAGAAACGATATCAAGCTACCGAACGGCGGGAATTTACAAAGCAGGAAGTGGCCACCTTGCTGAGAATAAAACACATCCGTCCAGTAATCCACGTCGAATGGCTATCTAATGTGGTCCTAGCTCCAAAACAATCTACTTGGAGGATGTGCGTGGATTACTCGGATCTAAATAAAGCTTGTCCCATGGACCCTTATCCAGTGCCGAGGATCGATCTGTTAGTAGATGAAATGGCCGAATGTGAATTGTTGAGCTTCATGGATGCATTCTGGGGATACCATCAGATCTTCATGCACCCAGCTGATGTAGAGAAAACAACGTTCGTTACTTCGGATGGTGTGTTTTGCTATATTGTCATGCCATTCGGATTAAAGAACGCAATGGCAACTTTTCAGAGGATGATCGGG